GCACTAATCACATTTCCAGCACAATGAAACCGAATCAAATGAAAGCAAGCTGTTGGGTCAAGAATCTCCTGATGCATTTGTTCCTCCAGAGGAACTCATAACCTTGTGGTGCAAAGCTAGAAGTACAGAGAGCTGCAGGTACTGCAGGCAAACAGTGCTGCAGTACCATAAAGACCTAGCAGAGAGGGGAGGGAACTGTAAGGCATCCAAGTGGGGAGCCTGTAATAAATGGGAAAGATTAGAGGAATGGGTAGTAGAGGAGAGGAAGGCTCCCAGGGTGAAGGACCTGGGAAAGAAGGGGATGGACGGGGAGAGGAGACATCTTGGCACAGCCATAAGAAAATGGGGTATCTGATAAGATGTGAGCAAGCGCTCCTCCTTGAGAAAGAGGATCTGACAGCAATCTGAGTCCTGCTTCCCTTATTCCCATCTCGCCAAGACGAAAGAATGGTGGGAAGATCACTGAGTGAGCTTAACAGATGGGTTTGTACTTCCCATAGTGCGTCAGGTTGCATTAATCTCTGTGGTGGGTTCTCATTTAGCTGAGAAAATGTCACTAAAACAAATGAACCGAAGCAGGCTGATATGCTCTCAACAGATGCAGAGAATCTCTTCTGCATATCATAGATAGAAGCAGACAGTCAGTATTCTCACTTGCCTGCTCCCTGCAGCCCCTCCAAAACTAATCAAAGATATCACTGGCTGATTGGGAGCATAAATGCCTAAAATCAGCAGACACTTCAAACAGACAAATGGGTAGAATCAGTCAGGGAATGTGGACGATGGCAGAGAAGTGAAGTGACATAGGAGAGGAGTCCAAGCAGTCAGGGAACAGGGACAGAGGAGTGGGCAAAGTACAAAGGAGACATTGTCAGGTGTTGGGAGAATTGCCTTGGAGATGGGCATGATTCATTTCTGTCCATGAAACCGTCAAACCCCTGCCTGTATATGCGTTTCCATTTCAAGAATGTGCCAAGTATTTGTACTTTTCATGCATCCTCTCCTGGTTCCTGAACCAACACAGTCCTTTCAGTGTATGAGGTCCTGGAAAGAAAAGGGATATTTTGCTGGGCTTGCTGACAGCGTCCATGGTGAAAAAATGAAAGGACAGAGGACATCAGCAAAGGAACCAACCGGGATTTGGTGCATTCAGCAGGCATTTATTCCTGAAGAGGCAGAGGAGTGTAGCATAGCGTGAGACAATGCCATATAACAGAAGACACTGAGTATCTCTGTTTAAAGTACTAAAGCAGAGTTAGCATTGCCAAAAGTTCCTTAATGCTTCCAGAAAGCAAAGGGTGAATAAATTTAAGTTGAAAAGAAGGTGAGGAAAACTTCAGGTCACACAAACACAACTTCAAAAAAAATCAGGAAATATAAAGTAAATACAGTCTTCGCTTTGCTTTAATTATTCTGTCCTTGACTGTTGTCCCAACACACCAACCACAACATCTGCTAAGATCTTCCCTTTACAGTCGCTAAAAAAACAGGGAACAGAGCAGATGAATGTTGCGACACCAAAACTGAACACTCGTTTCTTCCTAAGTTCGCTGTACTCCGTGGGCCTGCTTTAAACCACCCGCCCAGACGACCCGAGTACCACCCAGCCTTCTGCCGCACTTCCAGCCACGACGTATCCTTCCTTACACTTCGCTGCACGTGGGCGATCACCGTCAGGTGTGTGGACAGACGGGCTACACTACGTACCCACACTGACACTACTTACCAACGTGGTACTGAAAGGAGGACGCTGGCTCTGGGGGAGGTCACAGGCACTTCTCGGCTCTCGCCGAAGGTTCCCCAGCTCATCCCCCCGCTGCTCTGCCGCTGACAGCACCTGCAGCCACAGCTCTCGGGTCACCGCGCACTGTGAAGGCAGCGAGCAGCGCATTTGGATTCACCACACTACACTCGCTCGCAGACTGGTTAGATACTACTTGACAATGCATTTTGCTTTAAGGCATAAATGTGATGCGATGTAATTTCCCTTCATATATGTACTTTGTTGGCCAGAGTGGCTTTCCTGTTCCCATCACACAGACAAAAGGTTTAAACTCTATAAAAGGTGGCTGATATTTAAGTTTTAATAAAAATATATTTCACATATGTCATTCTTTCCTTAGACTGACCTAGTCTACAATATATTATTTACATAACAGCTGCAATATCTATTTCAAAACCCACTAGACAGCCCTCTCCAGAACACTAGGCTGCCCTGCCTGTCACTGTGATGGGTAAACACTGTCACCTTTTCAGGGCCTGATGAAATATAGAGAAGTAGTAAAGTGCACCATCCGTCACAATGGCACTAAGTAGGTTTTTGAAGTAGATTTCAGATCACAAATGCTCACATTTTCACTCACAAATGCTGTTTAGACTGTTACCAGAAAGCGCAAATTGGATGGCTCATATACAATGGCCATATGATGACTGGACATGACAGGTGGTCAAAGAAAATGAGTCTTGTTATTCTACAAATAACCTTGTCAACATGAAAGTAGAGCTGTACCTCTGCTAGTAACCAGACTGCAATAACGTAATGGTTTTATTTGCTTGAAATTCTAGCAACCCAAATATACAAATAACTTACAATGAAGCAGCAGCATTGAAGCAATATTAGCAATTCAACCTGATTATGTGACACACAATAGAAGTTTTCTCCTAAAGATGTGTCACACTTGAAAGAAAATTACTCAGATTATGAGTGGCTGTTACAAAAACACCTTTTCACAGTAAAACCCTCATGGCTTTGCAATCACAACCCACTGCAAGATATTAAAAATACGCAACTTGTAGTTCCACTGCAAGCAATCAAGTCACCCTCTGATGGCTGAAACCAGCAACAGCCACCACCCGCTGCTTCTCATTTAAAGCTTTCTACTTACATTAGCTTCAATAGTAGAGATTACTGCGTAGGATTGAAAGTCAGGAAGGTTAGATCACTACCAACCCCTCTGTGGCACACACAAATAGGGATATTTCCCTTTTAGGCAAAATTCCAGATCTAAGGACACTTTGGGTAGACTTTTTGAAAAATAAAAGAAAATATCTTAAGTTTTTTTGAGGGTGCTAGGTATCTCAAAGAACTGACTGCAAAATTGTGCATTCTTTGCCTCAAGTACAAGCTTTGAGTTTTGCCAAACAAAGTTCCAACCCTAGTAATGAAGACAACGCAGTGTGTGCGGTCCTCATTTCTGCAGTACTCATAAAAAACTGCCCTGAAACATAACTGAAAGTGTACATGTTTTCCTGGTAATGACATCAATGATTTTTCCTGGAACGCTGGATTTCCTTTAATCTGATGAATTTGTTAGCAACACATCGATTTTCATGAAATAAAATCTCAAAGGACACAACTGTACTTTTATCTCATTACAGTTACTCTTATTAAGTTACAACGAGAAAACAGTATTATATATTGAGTTTCTAAGTGATAAATGTGAGAAGCCAAACCCATTTATTAGTAGTTATTATTTGCCCATGGAAAACTTAAAAGATACATCATGCAGGTTAGGACCTACCCTAGCCTATTTCATTTCACTTCTTAACTACAAACTTTACCTTGCAGTTGTTGGGTTGATAGAGCCCCAGAACAGAGGCTGTATGGAGGTAACCACCATGAGACTCAATATGGAAAGCAGGCATGTAAGATACGCAAAAACAAGAGATGGAGAGAAGCATCTCTCCCAAAGGGGAACAAGATCTCCATACCTTCTCCTCTCTGGAATAAATCCCTTCGACTAGAAAGCTTCAATGCTTTTAAGAGAGAGAAGCTGAAGCTTGTGGACTTCAGGATGAGAAACTTGAGGCACTGACTTTCTACCAGTCCAAAATTCAAAATTGTATTGATAGCCCATAAAATCGGTTAGTTAGCATCATGCAACTTTCCCCGTTCTGACTCATTACAAGATTTCCACAGTGCATTACATGGTACCAATAAACATGGGCAAACACCATCACAAACAAAAGGAAAGCATAAAGCAGTTGCATTTTACTGTCAGAAATTCACTAACTGATATGCTATAATTATTAAGATACTCACACGGCATAAAGGTATTTTGGAAGAAGTATCCTCCAAACCGAAAGCCATTCACAGTCTGTTCCTATATAGTCTTATTAGCGTTCTAAGTCATGAAAATAAACTAATCTTTTAAACAATAAAGAAACCAAGATGGAAAAACCCCTGCATGATTGGAATAATATATAATATTTTAAAATGGAGGAAGACAACAGTAATGCAGTTAGCAGTGAAATCACAATTTTTCTATTTGAGAAATGTTTATTTAGATTTATACTATCTCAGCTAGGAAAATAAACAGAAATGATGACCCCTTTGTGCACACCCAATATATATGGAAAGTAAACACAAGAAGGCAGCCAGTGAAGCCAGTAAAGAGAATAAAACAAGATAATCCAAGATCTTATTTCACTTGGCAATTAACAAATCCCAATAGGTAGGATCTTTTCACTGACAAAACTTCCTAACAAAAGCTACAGTAAGATAAAACTACAAATCAGGGTTTTCAAGAGGAAATGGAGCAGATGTGTCAACTGAGTTGCCACAGAAGAAAGTATGTGAGATCCACGACCATAATTCAGGAGCTCCAGGTATTAGTCCAGCACTCCCGCTGGTCTCACTGTAAAAACCCTCATCTTACCCTTCCTACAGGCATCCCTCAAACCAGTGGCATTTATACATCAAAAAGGATAAAATGTAGCTCTAGACACAGCTTTCAGATTTTTACACTCAAGCAAAAGATGTCAATTCATACACTGAGATGCTTTAAAAAAATAATAAAAAATAAAAATATATCATATGAAGTGGTTCAGCTCTGACTAATTTTTCAGTTTCAGTCGAGACTGGCCACATATTTTACCTAAACATATTTATTTTAAGGCTAGGCATTTCACCATGAACTTGGCTGGCAAAGGACACAACAAAAGCTGATGTTTTCTGACTCTATTTCAATACAAATGACAGAGACAAATGGTCATATTACCTCAAGAGTTCCTTTGGCAGAGTAAGCTGCATATGAGTACAGGAGGTCTTGGCTATGAAGCATTTTGGTGTCTCTGTTGCACTGTTGTCCACTAGGATAAAAGCATTCACCGCTGTTTTTCAGAGTTACTGTGTTTGAAGAAGAGCCTGGTAGGTCAAGTAAAACAGAGTAATTTACCAGCCGGACATCTTCAAGGCCTTGGGAACTCCACTGAACCAGGATTTTCATTGCAATGTCTACATCATCTTCTCTAGACAACTGTAATAAATCTCTAGGAAAAAAAAAAACAAACAAACAAACACAAAAGCAAACACAGTTTTAGTTTATTTCCCACCAAGACACTTGTACCTTAGTATGCATCAGTCGATAATTTTACTCATAATGTATCACCAAACATACAAAAAACCCCAACCATTCACCCCTATTTTTTTGCAAATAATTTCTTACCAATTATGAGACAAAAGCAACCACTTTTTAGGAAATAAAAATAAGAAAAAAAAATTATAGGAAACACATCCAATGGAAACTCAGAATCCTACAGAAAGTATCACAGTAATGGTTTCAAAATCCATTTGTGGCGCTGATCAAGTTTCTGACATACCATCAAACGAATCAACCATTGAATATGAAGAACACAATCTGAAGTAACATTCCAGGGACTCCAGGGAGGGCGTGATGCTGAAAATTAGTCGTGATTTTACATTTGGTTTAAATTCATCAAGTAAAGGCAATTTGCTAAACAGAATGGAACTGTTCCCCCAAATATTGTGCTAGCTGTCAGAAAGTTTTCCTCGGATTTCCTACCTGCACTGAAGGACGACCTGAGCCAAGAGCTTGGCAAGCATACGACACGAGCCCGGAAACTATGTTGGCAGTATCTGCCAGACAGGCCAACTGAGATTTCAGATGGGTCAGTCTGGGCTTGTGTCACTGGGTTTGTATCGCTGTTCAACACCTGCTGCCAGATGGGCCACCGGATGAAAACGTTGACGGCACTGAAGAACCCCCCTGCTCCCCAGCAAATGCCGAAAGACAGAAGATGCAGAGAGTATTTTAAAGGTAACTTTAGACACGCTGCAGGGACAACCAAAGGCTTTCCCTCCTTATGGAGGCAAACTCTTCTATAGGAAAAGCAGGGCAGAAATAAAAGGAACCATTATTCAAATAAAAAACACTACTCAAATGCAGTACAAAAAGCTTATGGAGTATTTGCTGAATTTTGTGAGGATTTTCATTTTTTTGGGTGTTGTTTTTGTTTTAGGGTGGGGTTTTTTTGGTCTGTAATGTTCTCAGGGTAGGGAAACAAGGCTAAGAATCACATAGGTATTGATTTCCAAGCACAGAAATACTGACACTGCCTGAAACTCTTGTTCACAACCTTCTCTTCACTAAAAGGCCAATTATATTTAGATGCTTTAGGGTCCTCAACAGAATCTTAGAAAAAACCCTGGCTGTCTTGCACACATCAAAAGCAATGGTTGAATAATGCACAGTCTTTTTAAAACCATTATTGAAAGCAACAGGTATTGGAAAATCCCACCAAGTGATTTACAGGTACCCTCGTGCTATTCAGAACTCAGTTGTGACGCTGCAGGCAGGATGCTCCCGGCTGAAGGTATCGGCACTGCTTCCATCAGCGTCTGCACTAACCCCACGGAGATTTCCACCAAAGAAAGCTTGTGACAGAAAGTAAGCACCAAGACTCCCTTCTCTGCCCCAACAAAACTATCTTGTGGTTCAACAGACCTTTAAAAAAAGAACATTTACTGCCTAAGTAACACCAAAACCTTAAAAGGCAAAAAGGGAATTAACACCTATTATAGCCTAGAAATGGCTCAAAAATGGTATATCACATTCAAATGTCTAGTGCCCATTATCACATTACATGGGTGAAATAATTATTCCAACATGCAAAGGATTTAAAAAATGTACAAAAATTCTCTGTTTAAAGAAACAGATTGTATCCCAGGCCGCATTGCAACAGTAAAGTTATTCACATACCAAGTTCAAAATCTTTACACGAACACTGGACTTAATATTGAAGACTTCAGAAATCCTGTCAGGAGGAATAACTGTCTTGCAGATTTAATCTTTTTAAATTATCTAAAATAAGTCTTCAAGCAGTCTACACAAAACAGATGAGTTAATCCAATCTGTAGTATATTACAAGGTTCCAATTTCATCTCCTCTGCCTGCTAACGTAATGGCATGAACTTGAGCAGTGCAGAAATACAGAAAGTTGTTTGATTAACACAGTTATTAACAGAATATCTGCACTTCCCCCAGGTGACAGAAACATTAATGGAATAAATAATTGAAGAAACTTATCTCGGGACTATAAGGTTACGGTACGCTGCAGCAAGCAGTATTCAGTTTCAATAAAAGGAATTAAGCATTAAAAGAAGATACAATAAGCAAATTGCTCCCTTCGTAATAGAAGTAAAGTTTCTTTCTACTTCATAATTAAATAACTTGTCTTTGAAACTTTTGTGACTACATATCTGATTAAAGAAATGAGCACACTCACTATTTACTCCATAATGTCTTTATAGCATGTTAAAATCAAATTGAAAATTATGAGCACACGTTATATTACAATAAATGAGTACATTTTAGAATACTTTGATAAATCTTATGAACACCACCAGCAAGATTTTATTTTATTTTTTTCAGATTTCTTACAATCACTGACTTGCACATGTCTTTGATATAATTCTGCTGACTGCATGGACTTAAAAGTCTAAAATAATTTTACTCATTAATTTACTATATACTAGTTGAATAACAAGTATAAACCTGACCAAAATCAGAAAAGTGTAAAGTTTGGTAGTTCATCCTGGAAAAATCCCAACACTTCATATGCACTTCACAGACCTTCTCTACAAATTATCAATTAACTTGCTTCCTAAAACTTCCAGAGCACTGAGATTCATAGCGGTAAGATTTAAGCAGTGGAAAGAAAACAGGCCCTCGGGATGATTATGTTTCTCACTTTTGCAAATGGCTGCATGCTCAGCAAGAATCAATAGCAATGTGATTGCCAATCTCAATTTACAATGCTGCCTTTAATAATGTCAGCCAAACTTTTGATTCCCTTACATTAAAAAAGATACTTTCTTCAGCTACTTGGTCAGGCTCAGTCAATGGAAATCACCACAAAGCTAGCGGGCACATCTCAGTTGCTGTAAACCTGCATAACTTATTGAAGTGAAGCCACCACAGACTTAAGATTTGGTCTCAAGTTAGAATCAACGTTGACAAATATAACAATAACAATCTGACTAATACTGTGCCTTTACTGGAGGCCCTCAAAAAGATTTCCACAAGTTACCAGCCTTTACTCTCTAACATAGATCAGATACTGAACTAAGGTACACCAGAACAGGACATCAACTTGTTTCATGAGTATTGTGCTCCATCTCAAATATGCTCAGTTGCTGAGCTGAAAAAAAAAAACCAAACAATTGCACTTAAGAGAGTATATCTTACTTCACTTGAATAAGGTAATGTTTTCCCATTTTGAGGTGATGGCAAGATCAAGAAAATGTTTATGAAGAAACATTTTTGGATTTCCTGGGTAAACAAGAAGTCCAAGTCGTATTTTACTGCCTGATCAGCTGAATGTCCTGGCCAGTTAAGAGCAGCAGACAATGACTGAAGAAGGCCCAAAGATCTAAAGCTAGGCAAATAATTCAAAATAAGGCAAAGATATATCTATAGTAAAGTCAGACTTTCTGCAGCCTCTGCAGCTTCAAAAGACCAATCTTTAACAGGTAATTATAAAAGATAAATAAATACACATAGAAAACACAGAAATTTCATTTTCAGATTGGTAACCACATGGAGCTGCGGCAGCTTCATGGAAAGTCATCTGCTGTAACAGCACTTTTCTTCGCCTCAGCTTGCTAAGGAAGAGAACAAGGTATTGCAAACAAGCCCGCTGCTCATTGATGGTTATACACTGGGACACTGTGCAACACTGCTCAAAGGATACTGAAAAATTACAATAGGTCACACTAGCAATCAAAAGATGGGATAATTTAACTGTATGACTGAATTCCTTAACAGAAAATCCTATTAACTGCTACAAACCACCATCCCCACCCCCCAACCAAACCTAAAATTGAGGGAGAATTCTACACACTTAAACTCAAAAATGTTCAGGGACAAAAATTTTCCCTCAAATATGAAGAACTTCAAGCGTGGTTTGTTTGTTTGTTTGTTTAAACATTGAATGTCCATACCGCAATAAGAGTGAGAAATGGCCTACACTTCATGACCTAAAAAAAAAATAAAAAAATCTAGTTTTGCGGAGTTTGAAGTTTACCTAATTTCCTTATTCCCACATTTTGACTTAAATTTTTACTCTTTATTTTCTTCCAGTTCACTGAAATTGTTGATAAAGCAATTACTGGCATTTTAGGTAAGAGCTAAGAACAAGTATAATTTTGGAATTTTTATGGGCTTATTTTTCATCTGAGTGGTTGTTTTCAAGTTTTGGGAGTCGCAGTGCATTCACCAGACAACATTTTTTGTAATGATACAACAGATTAAAGTGTTATCTTGACTAATACGCTGTTTCCAACAGTAGCTGGTATCAGATATTAAAAAAAGAATGCAAGAAATGCATCATATGGGGTTATTATATTTATAGACTTTCATGCATATGTCTTTTTTTTCCTACCCACAAACTTTGTCCAGGCTGAGTTTTAAAAATGTTCACATATGTTCAGGATTTCAGAACTTGTTTCAGTCCATTAAAAGCTGAGACGCGGCAGTTTCAGCAGTGCCGGGCGAGTGCACAGCACTTGCACAGACCAACTGCTTAGCATATGCACGAGTATTTTTCGCAGTTGCAGATAAGATTGTTTATTTGTATCCATCACATACAGTGTGTACACACAGCAAACTAAATGCACTCAGGAAATACCACCTGCCCAAGCCACATCTGCTTAAATTTTAATTACATGGTCCTGTTAATTAGGGTGCTCAACTGGCTGGTTTCCAACCTGCCCGATTAGATTTCCCGTGGTCGGAACTGACTGCCACAAATTTGCTGTTTCCAAAACAAATTTAAAAAATCCAAGTCCCGAAGAGGATAAATATTTATCAGGAGGTTAGAATATATAAGAGAAACATTCTCACGGTGTTAAAGCGGTTAGTACAGGATAGGATCCCAGCGCCACTTCATGCTCTTCAGGTTACATTGCAAGGGCTCCAGCTACTGCTTCAGAAAGCAGATCTGTGACACGTCCTTTGTCACATCTGCCA